CCACCCAGCCTGGATCTGTGCTTGGGGTTCCTCCATTTAGATGTGTTAATCTCAAACTTGGAAGATCAACCCTTGAAAATTTGGGGTGTTTATTTTGTGTTTTGGTTATTTATTTATTTTATTTAGTTCTCCCTGTAGGTTCCACAGAGATCTGCTCTTCCCCAATATCCCAGATCAGGTACCAAGACTGGAGTAAATCAGAGATGATTCTCACCAGCACCTCGGCTGGTCTGGGAATCCCTGGTGTGTGATTATGGGCAAGTGAATTCCTGGTTCCAGGCTCCAGTTCTGGTTGGTTTTTAACACAAATCTTGAGATAATTCATCTTGCAACACCTAAAAATGATTTAATTCCAAACTTTGAGGAAGATTAATTGCTTGATCTTTACTTAGGTGGAATTTCACAGCGATTAATTCCACGGCTGATTTGGTCTCACATTTTCCCAGTGTCTCCCAACAGATGTTGCTCCAAAAAATTGAGCAAAGGATTTGAAAACGATGTTTTGTTGTTGTAATTTGCACTTTAACTTCATGGTTTCACAATGAACCATCGTTGTAGGGAGGAGTCGTCGCTTTCCCCACCACTTCCAGGGTGATTAATGCTCTTGTGCAACGGCAAAGATTTAAGAGACTGTCTTAAACTGTTATTTAGTTGCAAGGAGGCATCAGCCAAATATCCTGGTGATAATGTCATCAGAGGTGGTGAAATGATGGTGTCTGGGGGGATCTGAGTCATTTCTCTGCCTAATTGCAACTTCTTTGGGCCCCTGAGTCCCAGAAGGACATGGAGGTGCTGGAGCGTGTCCAGAGAAGGGAACGGAGCTGGGGAAGGGTCTGGAGCACAAGTGTGCTGAGTTCCCTTGTGGCTGAGGGAACTGGGGGTGTTGAGCCTGGAGAAAAGGAGGCTGAGGGGAGACCTTGTGGCTCTGTGCAAGTCCCTTGGAGGAGGGTGGAGAGAGGTGGGGGTGGGTCTGTCCAACCAAGGCCCAAGGGACAGGACAAGAGGAAATGGGCTCCAGTTGTGGCCAGGGCAGTTGAGATGGGATGTGAGGAAGAATTTCTTTGCTGCAAGGGTTCTGAGGCATTGGAAGGGGTTGCCCAGGGCAGTGGTGGAGTCCCCATCCCTGGAGGGATTGAAGAGTCGTGTAGACACAGTGCTGAGGGACATGGGTTAGTCATAGGGGACTTGTCAGTGTTGGGTTCATGGTTGGACTCGATGATCTGGAAGGTTTTTCTCCAATCTTGGCAATTCTGGGATCCTTGTTTCCCTTAACCTTTGCTGTCTGCACGTACTTTGTGATGATGGGCGTCCTGACCATCTATACCTCATACAAAGAGAAGAGCATTTTTCTGGTAGCTCACAGAAAAGACCCGGCGGGGATGGACCCCGACGACGTTTGGCAGCTCTCCTCCAGCCTCAAACGGTATCACTTTTATTCCCCTTTATTTATAAAAACGATAAAAATATAATTTTTAATTATTTATTCCCCTCGGGGCGGGAAAACAGCGTTCTGGAGAACTCAAAATGGGGGAAAACATTGGTAATTGGGTGATGTTGATGATTCCACAGCGGGGACGGGAGATTTTTCCAAAGGATCAACTACCGCGTTGTGATTTAGTGGCTTTCCAGGCACCTCATGATGAATATTCATGATGGAATATTATTATTCATAAGCACCAGTGATCTGTGACGGGCTGACCGCTCTCCTGGGCACCTTTTCCATCCGTAGGATCATCCTGAATATTTTCCTTTCTTTTTTTTTTTTATCTACAAATCAATTTTGCTCCATCAAAATCAACATCCACATCTAGAAATGGGAGCGGTGCCACGCAGATTCCTGCCTCAAATATTCACATTTTACTTCTTTTTAAGTTAAGAGGGGGGAAAAATTAATCATAAAAAGTAGAAAAATTTTTAATTTTAAAAAAATTTTTAAAAAATTGAATTTTTTTTTTTTAATTTTAATTAACTCCTGAATGTTAATGATCATGTGTGTGTGTGGATCTCCACTCCCGGGGGTTTTGCTTTCTCTTTACCAAAGATGATTTCTCATCATTTTGGGGTTGTTTTTTGTCCTGAAATCCTATTTTATTTGAGATAAACAGGATTTTTAACCTCGGTGTCTTTATTGAGCAACACTTAAATTCTTCCTCTTTAATCTCTCCGTTGTCTTTATTGAGCAACACTTAAATTCTTCCTTCATAATTTCTCTGCAGGTTTGATGACAAATACACTTTGAAATTGACTTTTATCAGTGGGAAAACCAAACAGCAGAGGGAAGCGGAGTTCACCAAATCCATCGCCAAGTTCTTCGATACCAACGGGACGTTGGTGATGGACGCCTACGAGCCGGAGGTGTCCAAGCTGCACGACAGCCTGGCTTCCGAGAGGAAAACAAAGTGATTCCTGGGAACCTGCTCAATCAACCCCAATAAAGTCAAATAAACAGCAAAGAAAGTGAATTGTCGCCTCTGGGTTTTGGTTTTTTTGGAGTTTTTTTTTGTCCTGAAATCCGATTTTATTGTGGAGAAATGGGATTTTTAGGTTTGGATTGAAGATGTTTTTTGAAGATGATTGGTTCAGGTGGAACCTTTTTTTGGTTCTGTTGCCTTTAGGGTGGGGGGTGGATGAGGATTTGGCTGTGAGGACCCTCAGGAGGGGTGCTCCAGACCTCATGATCCAAGGGCTGGAGCAGCTCTGCTGTGAGGACAGGCTGAGAGAGTTGGGGCTGTTGAGCCTGGAGAAGAGAAGGCTCCGGGGAGACCTTCTAGTGGCCTCCCAGTACCTGAAGGGGCTCCAGGAAGGCTGGGGAGGGACTTTGTCCAAGGGCAGGGAGTGAGAGAACAAGGGGTGATGGGTTTAAGCTGAAAGAGGGGAGGTTTAGATGAGATATTAGGAAGAAGTTCTTCACTGTGAGGGTGGGCAAACACTGGAACAGGTTGCCCAAGGAAGTTGTGGCTGCTCCTCCCTGGAAGTGTTTGTGGCCAGGTTGGATGAGGCTTTGAGCAACCTGGTCTAGTGGAAGGTGTCCCTGCTGCTGGCAGGGGGGTTGGAACTGGATGAGCTTTAAGGTCCCTTCCAACCCAAACCAGTCTGGGATGGTTCTGGGATTCCCTTGGTCACCGCCGCTGCCTCAGCACCTTCGTTTTCATCTGGCAGCGTTTTATCCAACTCTAATTAATCACTAATTGAAGGGTTGTTATTTGCATTTCTTTAACCTCACTTCTCCATTCTGCGTGAGGAATCGAGGAGAAAATCCTCCTGGCAAACAAATTAACGAGTTTTCTTTGGTTTTGTGTTTATTTAATGATATAAAAATCTAAAATAAAAAATCTAAAATAAATAAATTGTGTTTTATAGAAAAATATTTGATTTATTGGGGGGGGTGAATCAGCTGCTTCTGGGTGTTCATCCGCGAGGCTTTATTGGGTGAGAAAAAGGAGAGCGAAGGGTTTTTCCAGCTCTGGTTGTTCCCTCCGTGTCCCTCTGATTCCTGTCGTCATCTCTTGTCACTTGTGTCACTTCTAGAAAATGGCTTTAAATATAAAATAGAAAAAATTAAATTAAAATAAAATAAAATAAGATAAAATAAAAT